TTGATCTAGGTAGTTAAGCTTTCTGTGATATAGTTATTTCAGCCATCTTGAATCTAGGTAGTTAAGCTTTCTGTGATATAGTTATTTCAGCCATCTTGAATCTAGGTAGTTAAGCTTTCTGTGATATAGTTATTTCAGCCATCTTGAATCTAGGCAGTTAAGCTTTCTGTGATATAGTTATTTCAGCCATCTTGAATCTAAGCAGTTAAGCTTTCTGTGATATAGTTATTTCAGCCATCTTGAATCTAGGTATTTTAGCCTTCTGAAATATAGTTATATTTGCCTTCTGGGGTAGAGCTATTTCAGCCATTTGGGGTGTAGTTATTTCAGTTTTCTGGGATATAGTTATATTAGCCTTCTGTGATATAGTTATTTCAGCCATCTTGAATCTAGGTATATTAGCCTTGTGGGGTATAGTTATATTAGCTCTCTGAAATATAGTTATAGTAGCCTTCTAGGATATAGTTATATTAGCCTTCTGGGGTATAATTATATTAGCCATCTGGAATATAGTTATATTATCTTTCTGGGATATAGTCATATTAGCCGTCTGGGATATAGTCATTTTAGCCATTTGGAATATAGTTATATTAGCTTTCTGAAATATAGTCATATTAGCCTTCTGGAATATAGTTATATTAGCTTTCTGAAATATAGTCATATTAGCCTTCTGGGATATAGTCATTTTAGCAATTTGGAATATAGTTATATTAGCTTTCTGAAATATAGTCATATTAGCCTTCTGGGATATAGTCATTTTAGCAATTTGGAATATAGTTATATTAGCTCTCTGAAATATAGTTATATTAGCTTTCTGGGATATTTTCATATTAGCCTTCTGGGATATAGTCATTTTAGCCATTTGGAATATAGTTATATTAGCTTTCTGAAATATAGTCATATTAGCCTTCTGGGATATAGTCATTTTAGCAATTTGGAATATAGTTATATTAGCTCTCTGAAATATAGTTATATTAGCTTTCTGGGATATATTCATATTAGCCTTCTGGGATATAGTCATTTTAGCCATTTGGAATATAGTTATATTAGCTCTCTGAAATATAGTCATATGAGCCTTCTGGGATATAGTCATTTTAGCCATTTGGAATATAGTTATATTAGCTCTCTGAAATATAGTTATATTAGCTTTCTGGGATATGGTCATATTAGCTTTCTGGGATATAGTCATTTTAGCCATTTGGAATATAGTTATATTAGCTCTCTGAAATATAGTTATATTAGCTTTCTGTGATATAGTCATATTAGCTTTCTGGGATATAGTCATTTTAGCCATTTGGAATATAGTTATATTAGCTCTCTGAAATATAGTTATATTAGCTTTCTGGGAGATAGTCATATTAGCCTTCTGGGATATAGTCATTTTAGCCATTTGGAATATAGTTATATTAGCTCTCTGAAATATAGTTATATTAGTTATCTGGGATATAGTTATTTTATTAGCTTTCTGGGGTATAATCATATTAGCCTTCTGGGATATAATCATTTTAGCCATTTGGAATATAGTTATTTTAGCCATTTGGAAGAAGATATTTAAGCCAAAAGTTATGTGAGTCATCTGGGGTATAGCTATATTAGCGTTCTGGGATAAAGTTATATTAGCCATCTGTGAAATAGTTATTTCAGCCATCTTGAATCTAGTTATTTTAGCCATCTGGGGTATAGTTATATTAGCTTTCTGGGATATAGTTATATTATCTTTCTGGGATATAGTTATATTAGTTTTCTGGGATATAGTTATATTATCTTTCTGGGATATAGTTATATTAGCTTTCTGGGATATAGTTATTTTAGCCATTAGGGATATAGTTATATTAGCTTTCTGGGATATAGTTATATTAGCTTTCTGGGATATAGTTATTTTAACCTTCTGGGATATAGTAATTTTAGCCATTTGGGGTATAGCTGTTTTAGTCCTCTGGCTTACAGTTACCCGAGGGTAGAGTAGAAGTTCCCGAACGGCACTATTTTTATGACGTCGCGGCCATAATATTATGCATGCCTACCCGATGTTACGCGCGAACTCACTCGGGTTCCCTTGAATAGCTTGAAAAGGGCGGCCCTGGCGATGAAATTGTGAACTTAGTTTGGAAAGAAAACCTGTGACCACTTCTCCTATTTGCTCGAAGGGTATCAGTGCCCAGAATATTGGATTTTGCAAAGTTTTTATTTTATACATTTTAATTGAATTGAATTCAGGGAATCGAAATAAGAATTTAGCTAAGACCCGCTACATTTTGTCAATAAGAGCACATTTCATAGCTAATTAACCAGATATACTGAGGCTAAACAACTTCAATAAGTGTAAACGGGTAAATTTTTCCGAGTGATCGTGAAAAACAAGATTTTAAGGCAAAATTAATTCTAATTTGTTCACTCACTTTTTCATCGACGCCATTTTGATACGTGGTTTGTCGGTTCAACCCTAATGCATTGAGAGTTGGACTCGAGGAAGGAAATGGGTCAAGTATGACGCGCCTCGAGTCGCTACCCGACGAAAATATGCAGTTCGACTGTAACTCGACCTGGTCGAATCCGACCTCGGGTCCCAGCCGAACTCGGCCGGTATAGTTATTTCAGCCTTCTGGAAAATATTTATTTTAGCCCACTGGAATATATAGTCAATTTACACCTCTACTTAACCTTTTGGAAAATAGCAATGTTAGCCAATGGCGATTCTACGAGGGTGGGGTGGTAGAAATACGGCCGGCCCGGCTAGTATCCATGGCATGTTTAGTCCTCTACATTGTGAGCACTCTTGGAAAGAATTATTTAGTTCAACAATCTATAATATATTTGTATTGTTCTCATCTCATTATATTATAAATCCTTCTGTTAATGGAAGTATTGTTTGTTCTAGTTGCATCTTTTCTTTTCATTCTTTGTCTTTCATTTGTTTACATTTTCTGAACTAGGACAGTGTTTTATAGCAGAAAAGGAAAACTTTCTTTTTTAAATACCAATGTTTCAACAGTTCTCAATAAACCGGAAGTAGGGTCAATGCAATTTTATTTTCTTGCTCACTTACAACAATTGAACAGTGCTCTTGAAAATCTCACGTAAACCGGATCAGGTTGAAAAGATAGAATTGTGTTTCATTTAGAGGTGGTGTTATTTGGTTTAGCCACGTTTGAAAATGAAATAGTGTTCAGTTTATGAGAGGACTCTGGATGCTATATAAACTTTCATTGATATAGTTCCTGTTATTGAATATATTCATTACATTGTAATTATTCAGTATCAAGGGTGGCAAATACGAAATCGTTGCAAGCTTCTTAAGTCCCCTCTTGACCGTCAATTTTGTAATATGTACAAGTGCCTAAATATTATAAGAGGTTTCAAGAAAACTTAACAAGCTATTGCATTTTAACTATTCAAGATCATAGAGTTTTTTATAAATCGGATTAAAAATAAGGTAGTTAACTCGTTAGACTCGTTAAGCTCTTGTCTTGGCATCTCTGTCCGTGAGTTTGAAGGTAATCGTAATTAAAGTCGAAGTTTCGATCAATGATATCTCACTTGACGATATAGGAACATAGTTTATCACTTAATAAGGCAGATATCATAAAAGATTATAAGAATAGTTATTATAGTTTAACATGTGTAATAAAACTATACAAAGTACTGTAATGATACAGAAACCTTATTAAACTTCCTTTGGAATCAACACTTAATCCAAAAGTCAATAGTGATTATATAACTGCAGGTCGTCGGCATATTTGCATATATTTAATAATTTGTGGATTTAGCAAAAGACCTCATTGGGAAAAGAAGTACGGGTTACTGAAATTGAGATCACATCTCTTTAAGTGAATTACGTGCATTGAAAGGACCAATCAAACCTTGTGTTATTTAATCTGATAAGATTTACCATGAGTCCATAACAATCAATCATAGTCTAGTATAACTTATTCAAACAATTACAGTAATCACAACAGTCTATTTTCATACCCAAAATCATTTCTGCTTGTCAAATATTCAGTGGAAGAGAATCAATCAGAATCAAACACAGGTAACGCTCTATTCTTTCTGAAAGTCGGGGGTTGATAAGCTAGAGATAAGCGATTTTCAAGTTATAATGATCAAGATAAAGATTTATATCTATTGGATTTCAACTGGTAATTGATCTTACATTGACAACATGATTTAACTCACACCCGTGCCACCTTATGTTTAAATCAACTTTTTAAGAAAGACCTGAAGTCAATGATTTGTTGTTAATGAATAATTTGACGTTATACCGGGTTCTATCCCGAGAAGCTTCATTTGTTTGTCCTACTGGATTAGTAAGATAAAACCATCAATATTATTGACATCCATATTATTGACAGATACAATGCCCACAAACAATTCATTATTTCCCTCAATAATATCAGCATTTCTTTGGTGGATACTGCCGTTGCGCTGCTCGTGGTACTAGAGAAGGAAGAACCATCCACAAAACGTGAAAAAAAATTAACGTGTAAAGAAATAGTTTCCAAAAATTTTAGAACAGATGTGTTACAGAAGACTTAAACTTAAATTTATGAGTTTAAATGTTTTTTTTTTCTGTTTTTGGAAAAAACAAAAGTGTTCCGTTCTGTTGTTATCCACACCAGCGCTTATTCTTATTGATGCTGCCATGTATTGATCTTATAATTGTGAAACCATTTGATGTATTGTGTCGCTTTAGATGATAAGGCCACAAATTTTTTTCACTGATGTTGAACGTAATAAATCATTTAAAATCCTATTCCCACGTCGTATACGCCTACTGATGAATAATAATGACCAAAATTATCTAATTTGATTGATTACTGGTGATATTAAACGGTACACTGCAATATGAGAATATACAGTCCAATTGGTATAGATGTACTTAGTGTTATATAATCCAATGGATTTCCCTAGTTTGATGAAATTTTGTGGTTCATCTTCTAGTAGATCTTCTCTATGGCCTTATGAATGGTCGTCAACCTGATAAACTGTGAAATTTTCTTTTTTATTTTCAGGGAAGAAAAAAGACAGGCGAAATGGGATGCTTTGTTAGACAAAATGGGCCATATTCCACCAGAGAGCGAATCGTCAAAAGTTTGGACATTTCTAATGGACAATGAACCAATTAGTATAGTTCTCTGTAAGTACTACATAATTTTCAAATGTTAATTAAAATAATAAGTAAAGTAGGAGTATACTCAAATTTCTTGAAGTTAGCGCTCTCCAATATCACATTGTTACTTGCTTGCGTCCGATGACGAATATCTATAATTATCATGGACTTGGAAACATATGAACATGGATATTAACTAAATATATGTCTCGTATCGCGATATAGAATATAAAATCCTTACGTAGTCACATCCAGAGAAGCTGAATGGTCGTCAAATTCACGCTTAAGATAGATTCGACCGAATGAAATCGTAAAATATAAAAGTATTAGTTATGTATGATAGATATGGTTTGAACGTGTCCATATCGCTAACTTTGGATACAGCGGAAAGTAGTTAATAATTAATTTGATTTAAGCGAAAACTATATTCATTACTTAATTGACTTGTAAACATAGACCTTCGTTCTAGAAAGTTTAATTATTTAATAGCAATCTGATTTAAATTAGTTTACATCTTACACGTCTCCATTGTAATCAAACAAGTCTTCTACCACATTCCCGTTCTAATGTTATATTTAACCAACCAAAGACTGGCATTTAGGTCCCATAGTGAATTCTAGAGAAGTGAAACCCAAAATAGAGCAATATGACAGCTGGGCCTTACAACATACTCTTTGATTGGTTGAAAATAATGTCATTAGAACGAGACTGTCGACGAAATCTTGTTAGATTACAATATAGACGAAATATATCAGAAACAAAAAGAAAAGGAGATTGAAATCTAATTGAATTAGATTGGTTTAATAGTAAATGTATTCTAATAAATAATGTTAAGTAATATTGAAATAAACTAAATGTTATATTGATAAAGGTCTCTGGAGTCGGTCATGCTATTAGTAAATGAATCAAGAGTCAATCACTTAACAAATATAAAGTATATAGTATTTAAATTACGATTTTAGTCTGAAATCAATTCCATTCTATTGTATGTCGAACCACTATCAGATCAAGATGCATTCTTAACATGTTTAGACCAGCATTTACAACAGACTATCAAAGCTTCATGCCACTGTTAGAAATAACTAATAACCATTGGGGCAAGGAAACTATATTAAATATTTTATATTACAAAACTCCTAAAATAACTGCCAAAGCCATTGAATCGTTATCTATTTCTATCGATAGTCACAAGCATTCCTTTTCTCTATTTCTAGCCACTGTTCGTCAGAAGCATGCCTTTTCTCTATTTCTAGCCACTGTTTGCCAGAAGCATGCCTTTTCTCTATTTCTAGCCACTGTTCGTCAGAAGCATGCCTTTTCTCTATTTCTAGCCACTGTTCGCCAGAAGCATGCCTTTTCTCTATTTCTAGCCACTGTTCGTCAGAAGCATGCCTTTTCTCTATTTCTAGCCACTGTTCGCCAGAAGCATACCTTTTCTCTATTTCTAGCCACTGTTCGCCAGAAGCATGCCTTTTCTCTATTTCTAGCCACTGTTCGCCAGAAGCATACCTTTTCTCTATTTCTAGCCACTGTTCGTCAGAAGCATGCCTTTTCTCTATTTCTAGCCATTGTTCGTCAGAAGCATGCCTTTTCTCTATTTCTAGCCACTGTTCGTCAGAAGCATGCCTTTTCTCTATTTCTAGCCATTGTTCGTCAGAAGCATGCCTTTTCTCTATTTCTAGCCACTGTTCGTCAGAAGCATGCCTTTTCTCTATTTCTAGCCACTGCTCGTCAGAAGCATGCCTTTTCTCTATTTCTAGCCACTGCTCGTCAGAAGCATGCCTTTTCTCTAT